TAAATCTAAAAAATATATATAGGTTGGTTTCAGCTTTGGAAGAGGACAATTATCTTTCGCAAATATTTGTATAATTAATTACTGATACGCTCGGGTGTAATTCAGTATGTTAAAATCTTATTGTATTTGTATTCGTGTTTAAAAGAAACTATAATACAGGAAAACATTTTAACCTACAATCGTAAAAGTCTAATGATTCGTTATCGTCAATACGTAATAAGTTTACTTACTTGACCATGTGATCTATTTCGTCAATCTTACGACCCTAATATACAATTGACCTAATATTACTATCGAATTCATAATCTTTTGTTACAATTTAAGCTAAACCAAACCTTGATTGCCGGAAACTCTCCCACTCAACCGTAACATCGTCCAAATCTTTCTAAAAAATTACAGAATTAGGTAACTAAGGCAAGATTCGAATTTATGTATTATACGATCTACAAACCAACCCCATGATAATTTATTTCTTCGCAAAAATAATATGCCGAAAATTCTAACTTTAATAATATCATCAATGTATAAAAAGTTTTGACACACTATATTTTACGATATTCCAAAATATATTTGTTCTTTGAAATTACCAAGTCAACAACCATGATTTTTTGGACTTTTCTAGTGATTATTTCTACCCTACTCATAACATATTATAAAATAAACCTCAAGACTCCAGATGTTTTTAAAAATATTCACTCAATTACGTTATTTAACAGAATTTCTATGATTATTACTAAACAATTAGGATATGACAAACTATATTTCAATCATAAACAATATTTTGAAAAGGATGGAATTGTAAAGGTAAAATTTATCGGCACACATATATATAATTATAAATTTTATCAACTAAATAATGAGTCATTTACATAGGAACGTGTTAGAGGAAAATGGAGTTGTTTAGTAACTGATCCAGCGATTGCAAAGGAGATTTTATTGAAACCAGGTACATTTTATTAATAATTCACCTGACATGTTATATTTACATAATTTTAATCCAAAGTTTTTTTTAACAGATGTTTATCCTAAAATGAGCATTGAAAAGTTTTTTCCAAATTCTCTATTTGCAGAATACTTTGGAACTAACGTGGTTTTCTCAAATGGTGACGTAAGTACTAATTAAATTTATTCTTATTATTCCTTGATAAATCTTACTATCAAAACTTAAATTTTTAGATTTGGAAAAGACACAGGTATTTTGCTTCTCTTCTTTTTGTCTTTACTGAGGTTGATAATTTGTCAAAATTGAGATTTTGGCTAAAACTATATAAGCCTGTCCAATATTATAAAATATTTAATAATAAAGAACTTTATTGCTATAATTTTCAATTTAATTAACTATTTGGCTGTTTGGATTTGTATGCTGAATTTCATTAAATATGTATCAATGTTTTTATATGCTGCATTAATCAAACTTGATCTATTCGTCACTATAGTTAATTTAAAAATTATTATAAATCTCAGTTTTAGTCAATTTTCAGCCTCAACCTCAAAAATTTTAACTTGCTAATGATATTAATTCTATTTAGACGTGTTTGCAATCCTGCATTCAAAGCTTTACAATTACATCTTTTTGCAGAAACTGGATTGAAAATGATTAATACTTTAGAAATAATTGATAAAAAGCCTATCGAAATTAAAAATTTTATGCAAAGGTAAAAAAACCATTATTTATTAATATTTCATTATTTCTTATTTTAAATCACTACTATAAAATCAATTTTTTATAGATTTGCTTTTGATGTTCTTGGGAAAGTTGCTTTTGGTTTTGACTTTAATGTAAGTGTTAATGAATATTTTTAATTATAAATAACTTGTCAATTCTATATTCTAATAAATATGTATTTATATTAGAGCCTTGGAAATCCAAATAGTGCTTATATAACAGCATTTAATGAAGTACAAAAGGCAGTATTCGATCCATTAACTTTGCTTTTTCCAATTGACCGTTTTCCAATAATAAGACAACAAAAACTTAAAAAAATTAATAAATTAAATAACTTATTCGATGAAATCATTAAAGAGAAGCATAAAGCTTTAGCTGCTGGAAAGTCTCAAGGAGATCTTTTAGAATACATGTTAAATGCTAATGAAAACCATGATAATCAAATGTTGTCAGATACTGAACTAAGAGTAAGTTAAGAAAAAATTTTTTTATTTTATTTATTATTATAAATCAAATTTTAATTAGACAAATTAAATGCGTAGTATACTCTAGCTATTTTTATGCTTGCGGGCCATGAAACAAGTGAGTATATATATATCTAAATCTTATAATAAAAGAATGTCTATAATTTCTACAATGCGATAATATTCTACAAATTTATTTATAAATCAGCTGCAAATTCTTTATCTACTATTTTATATCTATTATCAACTTATAAAGTAAGATAAATATTTTATTATTATGTTGTTATTGTTTATTATTATTATTATTACATTTAATGAGAAACTATGTATTTTTATGTAGATTATTCAAGAAAAAGCTCGAGAAGAAGTATTGAGAATACTTGGTGATGATTTAATACCATCAGCAGAACAACATAAATCTTTAAAATATTTAAATATGGTTATTCATGAAAACCTTAGATTATATCCACCAGTAAGTATAAATGTATACATTAATGTATTTTAAATTAACTATAACATTGTAATTTTTTATTGCTATTGTTAATAAATAAAGGCACCATCTTTGCTATATCGCGAATTAACGGAAAATTTAAAAATTAGAGATATTGTAATTCCAGCTGGTACAATTATTGAACTATTTTTATATGGAATACATCATTCACCAAAACTCTGGGACAATCCTGAAGAATTCTTACCTGAAAGATTTGAAAAAAATGAACATACAGATAGTGAAAATTTTTCTTGGTTAGCTTTTGGTGCTGGAGCTAGAATGTTAGTTTGTTCTTTAATTATTATTTTAATTGCACTATTTACGAATATAATTATATATTATTTTATCTTTTATTAAAATATAGGTGCTTAGGAAATAATTTTTCTCTTATTGAACAAAGAATTGCGTTATGTTTGTTATGTAAGTATTTCAATATAATTTTTTTATATTTTAGGGGTGCATAAATGTATATTAAAAAAATTATTTATTTCATAGTACGCAAATATGAAATCTCATTAGCACCAAATAGTATACATAAAGATGGATTAAAAATTCAGACTCAAATGTCACCATATCCGATTGAACTTATATTTAAAAGAAGGGATTAGTAACAAACAGTTCATTTTTCTTGGTTATCGCGAATTATGGCTGAAGTGCGCCTGTTTTTCAAGTTTCTTTATCTTATTCAATTGTTAGTTTAGTATTATTATTATTACTAGGAATCGGAAACCATTGTAAGTCCGGAGCATAAAATTGAATGGTTTGTTCTTTTATTTAATATATTCTGTTATGATTTTTTTATTCAATTTTTTTTGGTTTTTTTTTATTGTTATTTAATTTAATTGCAATTTTTAATTTGCTACGAATATATATATATATATTTTTTACTTGATTACATTCATTTTTTATTTAATATTACAAATTATTTTTATTTAATTTTAATTGCAATATTTTGTTCATGTTAAAAGATTCTAATTGGCTCACTTATACAAACATATAAATATTCGAGTGATGTTGAGAGAAACGGGCCTTGAGCCTTTAAGTTATAGTTTAACCTTGAAAGATTTAATAATTGTTGTTAATTATTGTTATTGTAATTACTTTTTTTTTTTCAGGGCTAAATCTGTTAAGTTATAAACACAAAAACCAGACACGGTTTTCTTTTGGGGTACTTAAATACAAACATTCGAAGTCTGCATTTGACTATTAATTAGTTTATAATGTAACCTCTATTCATAAATATTCATTTCGTTAGCACAGAATACAGTAATTATTAATAAAATCTTATGGTATGAACGTACTGTACGTATTTACAACATCTGATCTAAGACATAAATAAAGTTATTGTAATCCGACCTAATCAATTAGTTCACTAAACTGTTCTCTAACGCCACTCGCAACAGTTTATAGTTAGCCAAAAAATAATTCGCGAAAGTTAAAATAAAATCTGAATCTGGCAAACCTTTTTTTCTTCGGGTGAATCTGATTTGCTGAAATTTGAAATTTAAAACCACATTTCGGCTACAAGTTTTTAAGAATATTAGCACACAAAGACAGCAATTAAGTCGATTTACTTGAGGCCTTTTCTCAGGATGGTGTTAAAAGATGATCATTTCGCTCATTTTGCTTATTATTCTTGCTCGTTGTGTGCCCCTTCCTCGCGCATAACAATCAGCATCACGCTCTAAATTATAAAAAAGAAAAATTAGATATTAATATTTTAAACCAATCCAAGAAAAATAAACTGGCATTTATATGTGATAAATATTAAAGCTTAATGTGTGTCTATTCGTTTTAATTTGCTTTTGATAGTTCTAATTTGTAATTATATTATGATAATCACTATATTAATTAAATTTATCAGGGTGGTTCTATTGCAAAATGCATCTGTTAATGCTTTTCCTTCTTCTGATCGAAAGTTCTTGTATCAAAGATTTAAAGAAATTAATGTGATGCTCTTGCAGAATACCTTTCATCAAATCGTTCTAAGCGGTTCTGCTAGTGCTTTCTGCCTTCTGAATATATCAAAGATTCGAAGAGAAGTTCTGCTAATTTTTTCCTTCAAAATTATTACTGTAAAGATTTAAAGAAATTAGTGTAGTGCTCTTGCATATGTATCTGCTAATGCTTCCCCCCTAATCCAGGAAATTAAGGTGATGTTTTTGTAAAATGCATTGCTAATACTTTCCCTTCTTATTGTTCTAAATTGATTCTGACTAAGATCCAAAAAATTAGTGTGATGTTCTTGCAAAGTGCTTTATTGCTCCATTTATCACTTAATTAATGCAATGAAATAAGACTAGCTTTTTAGTGTAATAGTAAATGGCAGTAAACTTAATGAAATATGTAAAAGAATTGCAGTAATGATCTTTATTCTTACCCACAAATTAGATAGTTTTGAAGGTATAAGCGTGTTATACCAAAGTTCAAGACTAAAGAATAATAGTTAAAAGGAAGGTTAATAGAGAGAAAAACAAAGTCAAAAAAAAAAATAATAATAAATAAACTTGTTCTGAATCTAAACTACCAGATTCTATCATTTATCCAACAATTAATTTCTTGACGATGTCAAAATTCAACAAATTACAGTCAGATCAGACCTCCTTAAGTGCACCACTCAGGACTATAGGGAAAAAATTGAAAAGCATACACTTAGGGAGGGTACGCATTTATAGAGAGCAAAATATATAGAGCTCTTATAAGCTAGGACCGGACTATACAGTGCATTTAGAGAAATTTCATAATCCATGCACTTGTGGAGACCTGACTGAAGGATTTTCGTAACTAATTTCACAGTAATTCTTCAATTCTTGAATAAATTCTTATTTGAATCACGAATAATGTTTAGTACAACATCTCTCCATTTACTCTTAATTTTGTCGAACCAATTTTCCCAATATACAGTTGCGAATCCTTCTCCCGTTTAATTGTGAACTCATTATAATCAATCCAAGATAATTTAGATCTCTCATCCTCTAATATTCTCTTAAATTCAGGATTGATATATGATCTAGTGATTTATTTATTTTCAAATTACTTTTATATTTTGAAAACCAATAATTTGTCTTTTGTATATCTCTTTTTGTACCATTACAGTTTCGATAACATAGAGCAACATTAATCATTGCTGATTTAGCACCCATATTTCATAGTATTCAAATGCTTTATTATAATCTTGATCAACCACTCTTTTATATTTATAACTAGGCACTTGAGTTGTTAAAAAAGAGTTAGAAATGAATATGCTGTATTGCATTGTATTATACTGGTATGTTACAAATTATTATTGCAATTATTCTCAATAATTTATCGATTTCATACTATGATTTATAGAAAAAAATGCTAGAGCATTGCATTAACGATTGTAAGGAATTGTTAGGGTAATTTTATAGTCATTATCTATACTTACAGACCATTGCAGTTTTTGTAATAGACATATCATGATTTATATAAGGGAGAGCCGGGTATTATGGCATATTTAAGAATTGCATATATAAAAATTTTCACGTAAAGCATATTTATTTACAAAACTTGGCGAAAGAAAATAACATTCGATTTACTATCGAATGATAAAAAAAAAAAAAATCGATTTAAAAAAAAAACTTCGAAATTTAAACTTTTAACAAACTGCTATATTTTTTCAGGTTAGTAGCTTTATGGTGCACTATGTATTTCGTATTGCGTTACAGCATCCTCCCTCAGATACTAGAGCTATGCAATTATTATATAATTTGAATCGTCTCAATGAGAGGAATCGAATGATCTAACAGGATTTGGCTGAAAATCCTAAGTGCTCCAAATTACTCACCTGCGCTAAAATACCCAACTCTCCCTTAGTAATTTGTGTAAAAAATTCGGATACAGTACTTATGTGCTGTAAGTGATTTAAATAGTGTTATGTTAATTTTGATCGTGAATGGTATAATGATTTGCTGTAAAAATTCCGATTTGTACTTATGAGTAGTTTGGTATTGGACTTCTCATGATTTGTATGGTGATTTGCTGTAAAAAGTTCGGTTACTATTTTGCAATAAATGAATAAATTACGTCAAATGGGATCCGTTCTAGAAAAGGGTTCAAAAAAAAAAGTTCGGTTTACTGTTGTAACCATCGCAAGGGAGAACTTGGTACTGTATGCAGAGTTTAACTCCGGTGGTTGACGTTAAAGGGATCACAGGAATTGGACAATAAATTATGGCATTCGAATATTCATGGTTTATTAGGCATTATTATAAAAAGATGTAAATATATGTGACTTGTATTTACAGAGGAATTTAGGAGAGCAAAGTTACCCTCAACTAAGGATGAAGCTAATTTTACAGATTATCAAAACAGTGATCTCAACGCTTACGCTGTAGATTCTACATTTGACCAAGGCACAATGATTACAAGTTTATGCAATCGCGTATACGCGCTATTTGAGCGTAAACGCTCTTGCATGAATTAAGTTAACAAGAATACTTATAAACTATATTGTCATAAGTGATTTAGACAATTCCAATCACTTCCTTTTGTAGACACAAGGCTTCACTGGGAAGTTTATTTTACAGACATTTCAGTTGATTTGAAAATTAGTGGGACACTTGAAAAATTTTGCTTGTTTCCCGAACGAAACTTACAATTCTTCGAAAATCACATCACTATTAAGTTCCGAAGATGGCGACGTGGTCTCTGAAGGGTTAGATGATTCATAAGACGAATCGAAAAAGTTTTGGGAAACAAACAAATTTTTTTAAATATCACTAATTTTCAAATCAGCTATAATTGTTGGTCAGTGAAATAAACGTGTCGGTAAAAATGAACATCGCGGTGAATTAATCGTTAGTGATTTACAGCGTTTTCATAAATTCTGGGACACCAAAAAATTTTCTCGTCTCCCGAAACTTTTTCGATCTTGTTTTTAGAATCATTTAACTTTTCGGAAACTACTTCGCTGTCTCCATATCGAAGTTCCAAGTACAGCGAAGTAGTTTCCAAAAAGGTAGGTGATTTTTAGAATGAGATCGAAGAGGTTTCGGGAAACGAGAAAATTTTTAGGTGTCCCAGAATTTACGAAAACAGCTGTAAATGTCTGCAAAATAAACACGTCGGTCGGTGAAGTGTTGTGTCTACAAAGCGAGTGTCGGTGAAATGATAATATCCGGTATTTCATAGACTATGCATTTAGGGAATATGCAATTTGGGAGGTCTGAATATATAGTGGTTGCTGTAAAAATGTTGGTCAATGCATAGGTTAACTGTCCCGCCGGAAAATAAACAAGCCAATCACAGCACATTAATCATGTGATTAAGGTTGACCGATGAGATTTGATCAAATGTTTTTGAGAATATATATGTGTTTAAATTTCCCCTCCCCTCGTGCCTGAGCGAAAAATATTGACGTTAACCTAATAATTAACTTTGAACGGCCTTATTGTGAATTGCAGTGATTTGCTGTAAAAAATTTCGGTTAATGTACTTACGA